AAAAAAAAAAAAAAAGTAAGATTAATATATAAATAAGTAAGTAACTTTATAAAAGTAAAAAGTTACTAGTGTTTATATATAAGTACAGCTATGTCTGTACACGTGTATAGCTAAATTAGGTTGCCTAAAACATTAGCTATCTAGCCTGTGCGTTAGGGGCTATGTGTACTTAAGAGCCCTCTTTCTTTGTATAAAGAGAGAGGGTAGTAGTTAATAACAAGAAGATCTTTGCCTGCTTACCTCTTAGTACGCCCCTTAGGCGTACGTTTGTTTGATTAAACCTAGGTCAACCGACAGCTAACTTAATTATAGAACTCTACGCATTAAGTATAATAAACATATAAACTTTTAAGAACTTTTAAAATAACTTTATAAAGTAAAAGCTTATACACTTTAAAAATTTTAGCTAACTATTTTTATAAAAACTAATTACTACTTTATAAAATAAAGGCATTAGTTTTAAAAAAAAATAAAAGCTATTATGCTATATAGACTTATAAAAAAAAGAACACACTTTTACTATTTTATTAGACTACTATACTAAACTATTACTACTAGCGCTAGTTCTAATGCTATAGAGGATGTCTTTATATAAATTACTTATAGACTTAATACTTTCTTTATAATTAGTATAACTACTTTATAATAGCTTACTGTACAAGGGCATAACTAGGCAGCTATATATTCCTGTAGCTACAGCTCTGCATAAGATTCTCTAAAGCTTGTACCTACTATATATAATTTAATTACTGTATAATCTATACTAACGTCTACTTATATAAGATATACAGTAGAGAACTTTACACCTAAGAAAGTTATATAATTTTAAAAGGCATAAAGAAAGAAAAATAACTATATAAAGCAACTATATAATATTCTAGCTAATAAAGCTATAGTATTTATTAAGCTCTACTAACAACTTATTATTTATAAGGCTTTATATATAAGCATTTTCTTTAAGATCTTTAAAAGCTGCGCACACATGTTCTACCTTTATAATATTAGTTCTAGAAAGATGTAAAAGGTCTTGTATAAATAGCTTAGTAATTACTTTAATACTAATGTAAATTATAACTAGTATTAAATAAATTAAATAATAATAAGTGTTATATAAATTAAGTAAAAGAACTTTATAAAAACTCTATATAAAGCTTTTAAAGCTATAATTAATAAGCTTACTCTTATATAAAAAGCTCTTAGTCTATAATTTTAAAGTAAATACTACTTTACACTGCTATTATATAAGCATGCTAAGGATAACTTAAACTTAAATAAGTAATATTTTTAATTAAGCCTATATATAAGGCACTATACAGTAACCTTTATTTAGCACTTTAAGTTATAATTAATTAGTAGAATAATATATTTTTAAATAAACTAAAAGACATGTACTATACTAATAAAAAATATAACTTCTTTTATATAATTAGCTTTTAATAACATAGAAAAAGTCTAAAGAGATTTAAATTACACTTTTTTATATAATTAAAGTAATGCTTTATTTACTATAAAAAATGTTAGTTAATAAATTATCTTTATGTAAATTAATTTTATATAAAACGCTAGTACATCTCTTTATATAAAAAAATTCTATAATAAGACCTTAACATATAAGAAAGTAAGCATGTACATTTAAAATTTTAAAAGTAAACTAAAGTAAGAGAAAAAAAGGTTATATAATAATAACTTAGATAAAGAAAAAAGTAAAAAGATTATTAACTACCTTACTACTGCTGCATTTCTTTACTATACAACAGTAGAGGACATATACAGCATAGAACCTAAAGAATACGTAGAACAGTTTATTCTTAAGGATTAATACTATATAGTATACTAAGGTAAACTATAGAATACTAGCGCTATAAAAATTTTTACTATTAAAAAGTTATAACTTAAAGCATACTTATAAGAATTCTTTTATATTAAAGTAGACTAGACACTAAACAAGAAAAGTATTAGCTTTAAAAGATAAAAATTAATAAGATTAATTAGTACTATATAAATTACTAATCTAGTTAGTAGTGTTATATATTACATACTAGATACACTAACACCCTTTCTATTATCTCTTGCTAATGTAGACTAGATAAATGTGTACTTTAATAACGTATAAAATATAACTATATAAAGTAATAAAAGTAAAGTTCTAGTTATATATAAATAAGGTTACTTATTTTTTAATATATAAAAAAAGAAATTAATGTTTTTTTATAAAACATAAACTTTAACAACTACATAAGAAGTTTAGCTATTCTTGTATAAAACAGCTTTACGTAATGCTTAAAAATGCTAGACACAACACTAATCCCTTTATACTTAAAAAGATTAAGAAGTTCTGCTATATATGTTAGCAATATAACTTAGCACTATAAAAATTTAAGTTTATAATTAAAAATAATTTATACTTTAATTATAAAATAGTAATTAATGTTATATAAATTAGTAACTAAGACATAATATATATAATTAATATAAATATATTATTTTAAGCAGCAACCTTCTTAAAATTAATGTCTATATAAGATACCTAGAACACACTCTATAAGTGTTAGATTAACATATATTAAGGCTTACCTAATTATATTATATATAACCCTAGTATAAACTTTACATCTAAAGATTTTTAGAATTATGTAAAGATTATAGAAGCAACATGTTAATAAATGCTAGTAGAAGCCTATTAGGCTATAGAGAAAATTAAGCGTGCGCACACACTACTACAACATGCATATAACATCCTTTATATAAAATTAGATAATTATATAAATAATAAATTAATGTTATAGATAGCTACTAAAGCTTTAAATAATATAGTAAAACTAAATAGTCTTATACCTAAATTACTTATGTTTAGAACATACCTAAGAATTAACATAAATTCTATACTATCTTCTAACATTGCTATGTAATCTAATGCTATATAAAAGGTAATAAAAATGCTTTAAAGTAAAAAAGTAAATGTTAATGTTAATTATATAATTAACACTTAAAATAGCTTAATATTATATAAAGTTTTAAATTTTTTACTTAGTTTTAAAGTAAAGACATAGTAAGAGAAAAAAAGATAAATAAAACTATACATAGTAAAGAAAATTAAAGCCTTAAATGTTATTATTAAAATAAAAAATAGTCTAGTAAGACTCTACTACCCATAGGTTATACTATATTATTATATAAAAGATAAGAATAAACCTGCATAAGAACTGCTAGATCTAGATAAACTAGCCCTAGTATAAAGAGATCCTCTATAGGCATAAAAAAGAGGTTATCTACACAACTAACTAACTTTAATTAATAGACTATATAAAACAGCCTCTTAAGTAGTATTAAATTTATTATATAAACTAGAACTAAAACTATAACTAGCTAAAAAGGCTATAAAAGACTACGTAAAAATTCTATATAAGATATAATATTTTTAACTTAGAAGGAAAAGAATAACTACGCTCTAGTAATTAAGCTTTATGTAAATAGTATAATTATAATACCTAGGAAACTATTTAAAGAATTAGACTATATAAAAAAAAAGTCTAATTATAAGTAGCATATTTAAAGTACTTTTATATAATTTATTAATTTATAAGAGACAGATCTTTAACTTTTATTTTATATATAAAGTTAAAAAGAAATTAACACAACTATATAAAAAGTTATAACTTATATTTATAAAGTATTTTAATAAGAAAAAAAAAGATCTTTACATAGTTCTTTATAATTTAGAAAGTAAGTTAAAGGTTAATTCTAGCTATTAGCTTATTACTAATAGCTTTATATAGTATGTACTATAAGCTATATAATATTACTTAAGTGTATATATAGTTAATAGATAAACTTATATAAATATTATTTATATAACTACTAAAAGAACTCTATAAAAGCTTTCCTCTGCGCATAATATTTAAAGTTATATAATGTCACGATTGTGCACGAGTAAGGTTATAGAGCTTTACAGAGGTCTAGTTCAATTACTACGTGAGGTATCATGGTAGGTACAAGACGTTGTGTGAGGAACAGGAAAGTTTAGGAGGAAATTAGCAATTAAATACTTAGCTTAGAAGTCTAAGCGCTTTAGGTATAAATTAAGCCTGTTCTAGGTTTAGTTAGTGTTAAGGCGGTTTGTGCTTAAGTTTATGTCCGTGTCGTGTCGTGTTCGTGTCAGACGTGCACTAATAATACTCCAGTACGCGTCTAATACGGTTATGTCTGGGATCCGGGGAGGATACCGTGACATATAACTACTATATAGCATAGCAGAATCTAGCTTATATTAGTTTAAGACATAACATACTTTACAGGCAAGTTGCTTACACACCTAAGTTACTTACTTTTACTAAGACTCTACTACACTACTTTTTCTACACTAATGCATTCCTAACAACACTACTTAGATGTGTTAAAGAAATGTTAGATGCAGCTTATGCTTTAAGCTTTTAAATAAAATATAACACTTTTTAAGCAACATGCTATAGCTATCTATAAGGTCTTTTAAAAGATAATAAGTAACTAACACGCTAGATAACCTTTCTAAGCTAATT